GCACTCTACCCAGGGGAACAGCTTGAGGCTCCTGTCTCAAAAAAAAAAAAAAAAAGATAGGCATGACCAGTCATATTATCATTGTGTGGGTTATGTACCCACTAACTATCATATTATTTTATTCTGTCTATGTACCAGGGTTTATCATCCTTGGTGTATGGATAAAGACACAGAGACCAAGAGAGAAGTAACTTGCCAAGAACACACAGGGAGTAAAATTATCAGACATGAAATTGAGTTATGTTGGGAAGACTAAATGCCAATGTTGTTATTATTATTATTATTATTATTATTATTATTTTTGAGACAGAGCCTCAAGCTGAGCCCCTGGGTAGAGTGCTCTGGATTCACTGCTCACAGCAACCTCCAACTCCTGGGCTCAAGAGAGTCTCCTGCCTCAGCCTTCCAAGTAGCTGGGATTATAGGCGCCCGCCACAATGCCCGGCTATTTTTTGGTTGCAGCCATTATTGTTGTTTGGCGTGCCCAGGCTGGATTCGAACCCGCCACCTTAGGTGAATCTGGCTGGCGCCTTAGCTATTTTTTTTTTTTTTTGACACGAGTCTCACTATGTTACCCTCAGTAGAGTGCAGTGGCATTATAGCTCACAGCAACCTCAAACTCTTGGGCTTAAGTGATTCTCTTGCCTCAGGCTCCCAAGTAGCTGGGACTACAGGCACCTGCCACAAAGCCAAGCTATTTTTTGTTGTAGCTGTCCTTGTTTGGCAGACCTGGGCCGAGTTCGAACCCTCCAGCCCTGGTGTATGTGGCCAGCGCCCTAGCTACTGAGCAATAGGCTCCAGGCTGTTCACACATTTTAAACAGATAGTTCTCACCATAAACAGGGGTTGCTTCTGGGATGGGGCAGTAGGGGAGCTGGAGGACAAGAAGAAGAAACCTACTGTTCACACTCTACTCTTTAGGTCTTTTGAAATTTGCATATATATTTTTTTCTTTTTTTTTGTAGAGACAGAGTCTCACTTTATCACACTCCGTAGAGTGCCGTGGCATCACACAGCTCACAACAACCTCCAACTCCTAGGCCTAGGTGATTCTCTTGCCTCAGCCTCCTGGGTAGCTGGGACTACAGGAGGCCGCCATAATGCCTGGCTATTTTTTTGTTGCAGTTTGGCTGGGGCCGTGTTTGAACTTGCCAC